GCACACACTGACAGAGTAGCTGGAGGAGAGTGTTGGAGGAGAAGACACTTGCAGCTCCAGGCATGGGGAGAAGCCAGAGAAAATGGCAGGTGCCAAGAGATGGAGGGTCTTGTTCTGGAACAGCCAGGAGGCCAAGCTCACTGGATGGAGTGTCAAGAGTGAGGTGAAAGAACACTGGAAAGGTAGGTGGGGGCTGGGATTGGAATGCCAAACAGCCTTTTGTATTCGATCCTGGAGGCAGCAGGGAGCCACTGAAGTTTGAGTGGGGGGGGGGGTGGAGGGGTGGCATGGTCAAACCTGAACTTTAGGAAAATCACTCTAGTAGAGTTAGGGTTGGGAATTGGGAATGGGAGAGAGCCCATGGGAAGAAACTGGGATCAAATGAATGTAAACAAACCTAGATCAGGTATTCATGTCAAAGCAGGAGCTGGTATAAAGCAATACCAAAGAATTAAATAGAGGAAATATGAACATAACAATTATAACTGGAAAATGTGAATAAATGAAAATTCCCCCAAAAAGAAAATAATAGAATGGATAAGGAAACAAAATTCAATAGTTGCTACACAGAATGAAAATGAAGGGTTGAAATAAAAATATCTGTGTATCAAGTGATCCAGAATACATACATGTTACAAATGAGTTTATATTCTAAACCGGTGTTGCTCTGGGTTATCATCTTTCTCCCTCTATTGAGAACAGGGACTGTCTTCATCCTGTTTGTATCCCTAGCCCATAGCGCCGTGCTTTGTATACAGTAATCACTTAATAAATGCATTCTTTAATTCATGGTACAGAGATCAAGTGTTTGCTTGGTGAGATGGTGTCTAGCTTTGTCCTAAGTCTTTTAGCAGCTGATTTAAATCAGCCAAACTTAAAATAATTGCTAACATTTATACAGTGTTTTAAGGTTTGCAAAGCACTTTTCACATGCTATCTCATCTGATGTTCACAACTCCATGGGATAAGTGCTTTATTAGCCCCATTTTATAGATGAGGAAATTGAGTGTTTGAGATGGGACTTGAACTTGGGTCTTCCTCACTCCAAGTCCAGCACTCCATCCATTGTACCACCTAGTTATCTTAAAACTGTACAAAATTGGGGCAGCTAGGTGGTGCAGTGGATAGAGCACCAGCCCTGGATTCAGAAGGACCTGAGTTCAAATCAGGCCTCAGACATAGAACACAAGCTGTGTGATCCTGGGCAAGTCACTTAACCCCACTGCCTAACCAAAAAGAAAAAAAAACTGTACAAAATCATCATAATTAATGTTGATGTTCTTTCCCCTCTCCAGGTCATTTAAACAGATTGACATGGTTGTTCTGATTTACTGACACATTTCTCTTACAATTTCTATTGAGTTTGGCTGTTCCCCTGACACCTCAGTGGTCTGACTATACACAGAGAACTGATTCAGAAATTACTTCCACTTCAATAACCAATTATTTCCTGTCAAAATGATTAATATATTCCATTTTTGTGATGTTACCCAGTTCTTGCTACATCCATCACCTCCCGATTCTGTTCTTGAAGAAAACATCCTTGATATATCAACGTGAGGCTTCCATAAAATCTATAAGCCTCCAGCCATAACTTTTATACTCCTGAGCCATTTTAAATCTATTTTTGTTCTCTTACCTATCCCTAGTTTTCATTGTAGCTATGTGGCTAATTCAAGGCAGAGTTTCTGAAAACAGAAAATCTTTGGTCTTTTCCTTGTCCCATTCATCATTTATTGCAATAATGTCATACACACTCCTTGTCTCCTCTTTTTCTGTTGTTAGTTTGTTTGATTTTTAAGGTGGTGGTGGGGGTTCTTCCTACTTTCCCAACATCTCTTGTGTGAAACAAAAGTTGATTAAGTCAGCCTTTTTACCCCCTCCCATTATTATCATCCTGTTAGCCCTCCCTAAGCAGTAGCTCCAATCTTTCTTTGATGCTAGCCTTCTTTCCAACATAATTAAAAAACACTGCTGAATCAGTAGAGGCAGCTAGAGGTATGGTGAGGAGGGCCTGAGTTCAAATCCAGCTTCAGACACTAGCTGTATAACCTTGGGCAAGTCACTTAAACTCTGCCTCAATTTCCTCATCTGTAAAATTGGGACAATATTAATAGCATTTACAGCTCAGGGTTATTGTAAGGATCAAATGAGATACTTGTAAAAAGTGCTTAACATAATGCCTGATACATAATAAGCACTTAGATGCTTGTTGACTTTGTTAAAATTCACTATCTGAGATTGGCTTAAGAACTCTACTTTAAAATTCCTTAACTTGGATATTCTATAATTTTGCAGGTAATCATCCCATTCCTTTAAATTCTCAATTTTGTTATAATTGTATATAGCAGATTCTGTTCATTCTTTTAATTTCCTTCATGTTTGTTGGGTTCACTCTCATTTTTTATTTCAGTAATTTGATTTTCTTTTTTCTTTAACATCATGTTAAAGGATTATCAATTTTCTCAGGCTTTTCAAAGAGTCAGCTTTCACAGTTTCCTTCATCATCTTGTATTTTTATTTTCCATTTTGATCTTTTTCTCCTCCAGTTTTCAAGATTTCTTCTTTTGTGCTTATTTTTGGTTAATTTGATTCTCTAGTTTTTAAAACTGCACACCCAATTCATTAATCTAATTTTCCTATTTTGTTCATGTATGTTTGCAGAGATACAATTTTTCTTCTGAGGATTGCTTTTGCTGCATGCCAAAAATGTTGGTATGCTGTGCTTTTTAAAAAATCATTTTATTTTATAGTTACGTGATTTGTTCTTTACACCACTCATTATTGAAGATGATTATTGCATCTCCACCTAGATCTGCATCTTCTGCTTATGTTACCCATGTTAATTACAATTTTGTGTCATGGATTGTAAAGGATGGCTTTGATATTTGTATTTTTACATTTCTTTATAATTTTGCTCCCTTATATGATGGTCTATTTTGCTGAAAAGATTGCATGAAGATGAAGGAATAATGTAGAAGGCACAATAATATACATTTCCAAGTTATCCGGGGCTCCTATTCAGAAAATGCCATCAGCCTTTCAAATCAAACTTTTCCAATAGCCCCGTTCAGTTCTCTTTTTTTTTCTTTATCTTTCTGTGAAGACTCATACAGCTTTGGGAGAGGAACATTAATGTCTCCTACAATTAGTGCATTATTTTGTAATTTGGCTAACTTTTCCTTTATGATTTAGGTATGTTATGTGATTTGGTGCATATGTTTACTAATGATAATTTCATAGTCCATGGTGCCTCTAAGAATAATGTAGTTTCTCTGTTTTTCTCCCTTACATTGTGACTTTTTTTTTTGCTTTGTCTGATAGCATGATTACAACTTCTAATAATCAAGAGCTTAAGGAGCATAAATACTTATGCCAGGCTAAGTATTCTAAATATTTGAGGGGGAGAAAGCATTCTTCCAAACTCTTTTTATGAGATGAATATGGTCTCAATACCAAAACCGGGAAGAGATGAAGCAGAGGATTAGACATCGTTGTCACTAATGACTACTGATGTGAAACTTTTAACAAAATCTAGCAAACAACTGACAATAATAGATCTAAAAAATTATTCACTCTAAGAAGTTTGGATTTATACCATAGAATGCAAGGAAGGTTCAATATTAGGAAAACAATCAGTGGACTCAATTACATTAACAAAACCAGCCAAAACCACAGGATTATATCAAAAGATGCAGAAAAAGACAACAAGCTATAGCAGCCATTTGTTTAAAACTCTAAAAACCGTAGGCATAGAGAGCCCATTTCTTAAAATGACCAACAGCATAAACCCAAACCCCAAAGCTATTAACTACAAGGTGAAATACTGAATGCCAGGTGGCACAGTGAAGGGTGCTGGCCCTGGAGCAAGAAAGATCTGAGGTCAAGTCAGGCCACAGAGACACTAACTCTGTGGCTCTGGGCAAGTCCCTTAATCCCTGTTTGCCTCTGGTTCCTCATTTGTAAAAATGAGCCAGAGAAGGAAACAGCAACCCACTCCAGTATCTGTGCTGAGGAAACCCCAAATGGGGTCATGAAGAGTCAGACATGACTGGAAAATGATTAAACAGGTGGTGCTGTGGACAAAGTGTCAGGCCTTTCATGACTTTCCCCATTGAGTTTTCAATATATCATGGCCTGGCCTAAGAAATTAAATGGGAATTTTTGCAGAGTTTTATGGATACTACAGATGACACAGAAAAAGTTTAGAAACTCAAAAATGCATAAAATATATGTGTAGTATTGTATAATGTCAATATGTTTTATCTTTTAATACCATAATTCAAACTTCTTCTCTGGTATGAAAGGGGGGGGAGACACACACACACACACACACACACACACACACACACACACAGAGAGAGAGAGAGAGAGAGAGAGAGAGAGAGAGAGAGAGAGAGAGAGAGAGAGAGAGAGAGAGAGAGAATGATCACTGTTTACAGACAACAGGATGATTTTCTTAGGAAACCCTGAAGAATCACTAAGGGACTGGGAGAAAAGCTTCATTAAAGTAGGATACAAACATCTACAAAAATAGTCAATTTTTCTATATAACAAAAGCAAAAACGAGAAGCAATGGTAGAAAGATAAGTCTTACCTAAAACAACTACAAAGTAGATATCTGGGAGTCTACCTCAGACACAGCCAAGACGCATAAATACAAATATAAGGGAAGACAAATAATTGGAAAGCTATTCATTGCTCATGGTTTAAGTTATGCCCATATAATACAAATAATGATACTACCTATTGTAAATTTTTTTTACAGATTTAGTGTAATAGCAACTAAACTATCAAGGGATGATTTTATTTGTTGTTCACTCATTTCAATTACATCCAACTCTTCATGACCCCTTTAGGGGTTTTCTTGGCAAAGATACTGGATGCCATTTCCTTCTCCAGATTATTTTATAGATGGGCAACTAAGGCAAACAGGGTGAAGTGACTTGCCCAGAGTCACACAGCCAGTAAGCGTCTGAGGCCAGATATGAACTCAGGTCCTCCTGACTCCAGGGCTGGTGCTCTATTTGCTGCACCACCTAGCTGCCCCTGGTTCTCGGTATTCTGTAGTTGTATCAATATCCTACATACCCTGGATATTGGTCCTTTATCAGAGATAACTGCTCTATAAAATGTTTTCAAATCATTCTCATTTTTTTTAAAGTTTTATTTATGCCTTTTCTTTTTACAACATAGTTATCTCCCATTATACCATCTCTTCTGTGTCCCTAAACTGTATCTTCTCTTGTATCAAAGAAAGACAATTCGGCAAATACAATCCACACAGTGACCTCAACCCACAAAGTAACATTCTGCCCAAGCAGTCCAGGACCCCTAGAGCCCTTCTTCATTCGCTTTCCTTTGGACGTTCTTTGAAGTTCCACTGTGATAGCTACTGTTTATTTGTTCGGGTACTGCTGATGTCACTGTTAGTTCCTACAAATGCCCCATGTTTCTCAGAATTCCTCATATTCATTACTTCTTGCAACAAAATGATACTCCTTACATTCACATGTCAGTTGTCCTGCCTTTCCCAAAATGTAGGCACCTACTTTGTCTCCAGTTCTTCGCTACCACACACACACACGTGCACACACATGCACACACATACACATTCACATGCATGTGCACACATGCACATACACAGCTGCCATGAATATTTTGGTATATACTGAATCTATTTCTGATTGACATTCATGGGGGGTTCTAAATGGTATGAACCATTTAGTCACGTTTCATGTATAATATTAAACTGTTATCCAGAATGGTTGGGGCAATTCATATCTTTACCCAAAGTTCATTCATATGCCTATATTCCCTCCACTCCTTCAATGGTGACTGTTCTCCTTTTTTGGTCACCTTTACCAACTCGTAGGGCTTGAAGTGAAACCTTTTAAATGTTTTTTTGAGTTTGTATTTCTTTTGTGATGAGTAAATCAAGAGTATGTTTTCATCAGGCCATTATGGTTTCAATTCTTTTATTTTGAAAACGATGTATATCCTCTGACCACGTGGTTATTTTAGTGTTATACAGTTCTGTTAATTCCCTAGACATCTTCGTTTATCAGACTTTTATCAGTGATATTTGACACAGATTTTCCCTCCCAGTGTAGTTTCTCTTCCTATTCTTGTGGCATCACTTCTGTTTGTGCAAAACCTTTTTTGTTTTGTGTAACTTAATTGTCTCTTTTGACTTAAGTGATCACTTCAATCTATGGTTTGGTCAAGAATTCTTTACTTCACTATAGCTGTAAAAAAATAGATAATTCCTTCTTTCCCCCTTTATTTTTAATGGTGTGACTATTTGTATTCAAGGTTCATATCCATTTGTAGTTTATTTTGGCGTGAGTTGCATATCTAAAGCTCATTTCTGCCAAACATTTCCAATTTTCCCAGTTCTTGTCAAATTGGGAGTCCTTACCATAGAAGTCTGTGTTCTTAGATTTAATGAATTCTAGGCTACTCATTCAAATCCTTCTGGGCTCTTTTTGAGCAGGATTTATTAAAATATGGAATTCAGGCTCTATATTTTATCAGTTTTTTTTTCTGGGATGCCAACAGTTCTCAGATTGTCTAGACCACTACCTTTAAGGTCAATTGCTTTGCTTTTGTCCAAAAAGACTTCAGTTGTTCTTCAAATTTGCCAATTTTCAAGCCTGTTCCAATATTCCTTTTTGCACATTGGAATGTTTGGATTATAGCTCTGATACTCTTAGTGCAGCCACTGAAATTAAGAATTTCCACTTTCTGTTCTGAACTATTAATTTTCTTGTTTATCTTTTCTAATTCTATTTGATGAGCTCCAATGTTCCTTCTAAAATTGTCAATTCTTTTTAGAAGCCTTTCAATCACTTTGGGGGTCTTCGTGGCAGTCTCATTTTCATGAGTGTCTAGTTAGTATTGCGCTATTATTCTCTTCTTTCGGAGATGTCTGTTAACTTTCTTTTACCTAATATCATTCTTTCATTATATTTGGAGCTCTTTTTTGTATGCTCGATACTACAATCTGACTGCTATTTTTTTTCTGAAAGGTTTTTCCTTGTAATGATTTCTTTGCCCTCTATATTTTGGGGGTTTTCCTTCACTTTTGGCAAATATATTACTCTTTGGAAGTGATGAAAGAGAACAAGGCTGACTTGAAACCACTCATTTCTTTCCCACACTCTTTACATTTGTAGGCATTCCCTACAAAGTGATTTCAGTAGTGGTAAAGCCTGAAAGATTTTCCACATTCACTGCATTCTTGGGGTTTCTGTCCAGGATGGATTTACTGAAATTCAGTAAGACCTCACCCCTTCATACACAAGGCTTTCCCATATTCATTACATTAATGAATACTCCTCCAGGATACTTTTTAAAATATACATTGAGTAAGAACTTAGCTCCAACTGAAGGCTGATTCGCATTGCTTAAATTCATAGACTCTTTCTCCACTATGAATTCTTTTGTGATTATTAAGGGATGAACAGTTGGTGAATGCCTTTCCACATTCTTTGCATTTATAAGGCTTCTCTCCACTGTGCATTCTCTGATGTTTAGTAAGATTGGAGCTATTACTGAAAGCCTTCCCACATTCCTTACATTCATAAGGCTTCTCTTCAGTGTGAATTCTCTGGTGCCGAGTCAGGGAAGACATCTGCCTGAAGGCCTTGCCACATTCTTTACAAGTATACGGCTTCTCTCCAGTGTGAATTCTATGATGTTGAGTAAATAATGAGCTCTTTCTGAAGGCTTTGCCACATTCTAGACATTTATAAGGTTCCTCTCCAGTGTGAATTCTAATATGTTCAGTGAGAGATGAGCTCCAGTTGAAGGCCTTCCCACATTCCTTACATTGATAAGGTTTCTCTCCACTATGAATTCTTTCATGCTTAATAAGGGAGGACTGGTTGGTGAAGGCCTTCCCACATTCCTTACATTGATAAGGTTTTTCCCCAGTGTGAATTCTCTGGTGTTTAGTAAGGTTTGATCTCTGAATGAAGGCTGTCCCACATTCCTCACATTCATAGGGTTTCTCTCCACTATGAGTTCTTTCATGTTTAATAAGGGAGGCTCGGTTGGTAAAGGCCTTCCCACATTCCTTACATTGATAAGGTTTTTCTCCAGTGTGAATTCTATGATGTTGAGTAAGGGATGAGCTCCAGTTGAAGGCCTTTCCACATTCCTTACATTGATAAGGTTTTTCTTTAGTGTGAACTCTCTGGTGTTGAGTAAGGGATGAATTGCAGCTGAAGGCCTTCCCACATTCTTTACATTTATAGAGTTTCTCTCCAGTATGAAGTCTCTGGTGTAGAATAAGGTTTGTATGCCTTGTGAAGAATTTTCCACATTCCTCACAATCATAGAGTTTACCTTTGTTATGTAGTCTCTTATGTTGATTAAGATGTGTGTGGTGATATGGGAATGTCTCCCACAACCTGATCTCTTTGATAGGACCCTCCCCAAATGTGCAGCTTTGGGAAAAATCCTCACTGAATCTTTCTAAGATCCCAGGTGATTCTCCTCCTTCTTGATTGGGAGGTGATTCCTGGTTCTCAAATCTAGTATCCCAGGCTGAAAGAAATTGAGAATGAAAACAATTTTAATTTCAGTTATAAAGGACCTCAGAGAGCTAAGCTGACCCTCACCACAGTCATCCTAACCCAGAAAAGATCAAGCAATCTCAGGCTACACTAGAAGAGGCATAGGATGCTTAGACTAGTGAGATAATAAACTGGCTATACATACTCAGCCTTGGTCAAACTACATTTTCAGTAATAAATTAGGTGATACACTGTTAAGTTTGGTGAACAAAGCAGGGGAAGGAGGATGGTGAAGGGCCCCAATTTCACATGACAACTGGCTGAAGAACCTGATGATTCTGGCCTAGAGAAAAATAGTCTAATGGGGGACATGGGAGTTGTCTTCCAGTATTTAAGGGCAGACAAATGGAAGAGTGATGACAGAATCAGAATTTTAGAGCTGGAAGGGACCTCAGTGGTGACCTAGTCCAGCCCATACCAGAAAAAAAAAATCTCTAAACTAGAACATACAGGACACATTGTAACGATCCAGGGTGCCCTCAAAGGCTTCCATTCCACTGTGGGCTACCTCAAATCATTAGGGAGTAATTCTTAACATCAACCTAAATTTTCCTCTTGTAATCTCTACACATGGCTCCTAATTCTGTCCTCTGGGGCAAAGCAGAACAAACTTCCATCCTCTTTCACATGCCAACCCTTCCACTACTAACACATGGCTCTCATTCCCCCTGAACCTTCTCTTCAAACCTTCCCAGCTTCTCTGGCTGACGCTCATGACATCTGGGTCCCCTGCACCCCTGAGCGCTCTCCTCTGCACTGTCTTGAGCTTACCAATATCCTTGTCTAGGGTGGCAGATCCGGACACCCCAAAATGAGGTCAACTGCCAGAGACAACAGTGACTGAGGAATAAGGCTACAACTAGGTCTTCACTCTCTTGACTCAACCATCCTCTTCATTGTTTACCATGGGCCTAAAGGTCTCCTGATCCGGGGGTGGCAAATGAAGAAACTGCTGCGTGATGAGATCCAAGAAGGGTCAATGAGGAGACTACAACCTCAACAGACCTTTCCAATGCCCCTGCCCTCCGGAGCTCAGGCGGAAGGGGTTAGCTGGGAAGAGGAGTGGGGAGGAGGAGGACCCACAGAAGGGGAATAGTAGAGCGGGAGTACCTCAAAAGCAGGGATCCTGTCACAGAACGATGTGGTCATCCTTGGTCACTAGAGGGGGAGAACTCTAAGAAACTTTGGAAATCAACTAACCCCAAGTCTATACTACACAAGGAGGCAAGAGAAGCTCAGAAAGGAGAATGACTCGGCCAAAGTCCCCCTTTGAAGACCTGGGGTCACGGGGTCCTTGAATGTCAGAGCTGGAAGGACCCTTCACTCCAAGCACTCCGTGTGAGAGGGAGCAGGTAGGGACATTACTGCTCCAGGGTCTCTGAGGAACACCCCCCTTGGTCTGGGAGCACGGACCAAGCACTCAGGGTGCCACGGTCAAAACCACCCTGACCTCAGATTCAGGGAGAGGGCCGGGAAATCTACCACCACCAGAGACCAGCTCCAACCCTCATCTCACCCCGCCGCACTATCCATCACTCTAACACGGCCATACCCAACGGCCCAGACGGGCTGTTCCATGTGCTGGCTCCTAGCTGCCTGCCGGAACTGCCTCCTTCAGGTGGATGGGCGCTTCTTGGGGCCCTTCCCTGCAGATCCTGTGCCAGGGGCTCTTCTGCTTCTTTCAACCAGGAGATGGAGCCTGATGTGGGATCCAGAAGCCCTAGATGGGGGGGGGGGGGAGAAGATGAGAAGACTCTCTAGGTGCTGGCATGACAGCTTCCTTCTGGTCCCCGGTTCACAACTTCAGAGGCGTCCTCGGCCCCCCTCAGCTGCCAAGCATTACTGATTCTACATTCCCAAAGCATCTCACACCATCCCCAGCATCCTCTCTCTTTGTTACCACTTTGGGTCAGGCCCTTATTCCTGCCTGCCTCGATGACTGTGATGGCCAAACAACTGGCCTTGCTTCCCGTCTCTCCCATCTTCAGGACACGCTCCACAGGGCTGCCCAAGCGGTCTCCCCAACCACAGGTCTGACCAGGTCACTCCTGGCCCAGGGGCTCCCCTGGCTGCTAGGATCAAGCATCAGCTACCTGCCATGACAAGGCTCCAGGCTAACTTTCTGGAATTATCCCACATCACTTCCCTTCACACACCCTCCAGCCCATCCACACCGGCCCCCTGGTTACTTCTTGCACACCACGTCCCTCTGTTCTCCAGGCCTGAAACCCACCCCCTCCTCACGCCTGCCTCACTCTTGGAATCCCTGGGGTCTGTCAAAATGCAGCTGCTCCATGAAACCTTTCTGGATCCTCCCTTCTTACTGCTGTCCACCCCAATCACCTGGTGAGCTAACTGTGTCTGTGCTTATCTGTGCCTAGAAGTTACCTCCAAGAGACTCTAAGATCTTTGAGGGCAGGGACACTTTGGTTCAGTCTTTGCACACCAAGTACCTGATACTCAGTAGGTGCTTAATAAATGCTTACTGATTCCCTGAAGGCAGCAAGGGGGCAGGATTTCCTTCAAAAGAATGAGGAGAGGCGGCAGGAGTGCAGTGGTTGCGAAGACTGGGCTACAGCACCCTAGATCTGACCATAGGACCCCCAGGTCAGCTGGCCCAGACTCCCCTTCGAAGCCTGCGTCTCCAAGATGTCCTCAGAACTAGTCAGTCAGCCTCTGCCTCTTCCTGAAGATTCCCCTCCCATGACAGTAAGACTTTGTTCCCAGGACAGGGCAGGAGAGGGGTGGTGGGGCTAAGTCGGACACGGCCTGGGGTGGGACTCTGCCAGTGTGGTTTGAGACACGTTTCTGGCCCTCTCCCAGCAGAACCTTGGAGAAATTGCTTGCCCTTTCTAGACCTCATCTTCCACCCCACTAAAGGGACAGCACAGGATGGAAAATCTCCAACCACCCTCCTGATACTGACACTCTAAAGTTTGGTCATTTGTTGGGGCAAAACTGAACATTCCACTCCTAAGGGGGAGGGGAGTGGCCCTCACCTGCAGACATCTGTCCAGAGTACCTTGGGGAGAGTCCCTGCCCCGGGAGCCGAGACCTGGGAGGCGAGTCCAGGAGGACGCACAGGTGTGTCTGGGTCCACGAGAGGAGCAGTCTCTCTTTCACAACCGCGTGAATGGAGCGCTCAGGGCCCCAAGACTGTGCTCCTCACTTTTCAACCCAGACTCCTGAAGGTAAAGCCTCACTGGGAGGCGGCCTTACCCAGGGATACCAGGTTCCTGTAGTTCTCCAGCATCACCTCCCTGTAGAGCTCCCTCTGAACAGGGCTCAGGAACCCCCATTCCTCCTGGGTAAAGTCCACAGACACATCCTTGAATGTCACTGCCTCCTGCAACACCAAACATATGCATTCTGGCCTGGTGGCCACCCTGCCAAAGCCCTGGGGATGAGGACAAGCCCAGGAGGGACAGAGGCGTATCCGAAGAGGTTCTGGGGGTCCAGCTGGTCCTGGTGAGTCAGGCTATCTGGGCTCAGGGCCCAACTCTGTTACTAACTTAGGGAAGGCTAGAAAAATAAGTTTTCCTCTGAGTCTCAGTTTCCATAGTAAAGTTAAGGAGATGGACCAGGTCCATCTCTAATAGACCTTTACTATTAGAGACAAGGAGGACAGCTTCAGACACAAGTCTAGACAGGTCAGCTTGTTGCTAATTCTCATCAACTGCCATCCCCCAGAACTTGACCATAACTTGGGAAAACTGCCTGTCTATGGTCTGGAACCTGGGAAATCAGTCCTACAGAGAAAAGAGACCTCCAACTCACCTGGACTCTGGCCAGCAGAACCACAGAAGCCATTCCCTCTTCCTCTGGACTGTCCTCTCGAGGAAGGGCAAAACTGAAAGACAGTAAATCTGTGGCACAAGAAAGGAGTCACAGCAAGGTGGCTGAGGCTGGCTGTTCAGTCCATAGACTCACCTAATCAGAAGTCTCCTGCCCTCAAGTAGGTGAGCCCCACCTCCCCCTACACACACACACACATACTCTCTCTCTCTCTCTCTCTCTCTCTCTCTCTCTCTCTCTCTCTCTCTCTCTCTCTTCCCAGAGACAGCCCTGTTGTCTCCTAGGACCAGAGATTCACAGAATTTCAGAAGTGGAGGGACCTCAGTGGCCTTATCCACACATAAAGTTAGGGGTAAAGATACAGACTGGAGACTTATATGCAGGAATGTGTTAACTAAATCCTTGAGAATGGATGAGACCCTTTCAAGGAGAAAAGAGAGCCCAGGAGAATAGGGTTGGGGGAAGCTGAGGAGTCAGCAGGGACACGGGAGTGGTTAGAAAAGACAGGCAGAGTCATGGAAAGGGGTAATTGTGCAAAAAGAGTGCTGAGGGAGCACCCGGCCCTCACCGCCCAATTCCGGCTTGACAAAGACAAGAAATGCACTCGAGGACAGAGGATGGATCCCAAAGCGTGGCACCAGGCTCGGGGCAAAGCGTCAGGAGCCTGAAAGCTCACAATAGGAAAGCCGAGGACAAGAGTGAAAAAGGGACTGCATAGCTCCACTGATGATATCAAGAAAGGGCAAGGACGTTTGCTCAGATGGATAGAGCAGTAATAGAGCTGCTCAGCTCATCTGTTTCCTTCTCTGTGTCCATGGAGGACAACCCTTAGACTGGAAGGGACGGAAACAATGTGGTGCATTGGCACTGGCAACCAATAAGAGAAGGCTGCTCTGCATGAGCCCACGGCACTGGGCCAGATGAACCACATCCTGGGGTCCTGAGAGAAGTGTCAGACGTGACTGCCCAGCCCCTCCCAGTGACCCTACAGGACTGTTGGGAGAGGTACCCCAGGGCTGGAAAGGGCAAGTGTTGCCATATTTTCAGATCAGGGAAGGGAATGAATTCTGCAGACCACTGGCCAATCCTGGCAAGATTCTAGGAAAGGAATAGTTCATAAAAACCTAGAAGAGGAAGCAGGGGGACAAGAGGGGTCACATATTCTGAAGAACAAAGGTCAAGGTCAGAGGTTCTTAATCTTTGCTAGGTCCAGGACGCCTTTGGCAGCTGGGTGGAGACTATGGAAGACCTCTTCTTTGCATCACAGTTTTAAATGCATAAAATAAATAGGATTAAAAAAGGAAACCAATTCTACTGAAACACACTTACCAAAATATATGTGTTTCTTTAACCCAGCAAGTTCACAAATGCCCGGTTAAGTACCCTTGGTCTAGAATTTCAGGGGAAGTAATGTTAAAAAAAAGAAAAAAAAAGAAGGAAAGGGATGTAGTACTTCCAGACCTCAAATTTATAATAAAGCAGTTATCATTAACAGCCTTGGTGCATGTTAAAAAACAGAAAAGTAGATCAATGGGACAGAAAGCTAGAAAAGCAATTTGATTAGCCAAACATTTAAAAACATTACTACTTGCAAAGCAGCACTGCTTTTGCCAGGCCTTAGGGACACAGAGTCCAGAACAAAGCAGTCCTTGCCCACAAGGAGCTTAATTCTGCTACTGTAACCACAAGTACAGAGATAAATACACGCCATTTCAGAGGAAGGGAGCTTTCCCATTAAGCAGAGTAGGTCCTAGAAAAATATCAGATCTTTACCTGTGGGCCCCGGATCAGTGACCATGGCCTGGAGGCCACGGCTCTTTCAACTCCAGAATTGCAGGCTGGATGGAGAGCACTGTCCTGAGGCTGTGAGTGCCTCCCCGGGCCCCCTCTCTTCAGACCTCTTCCAGCACACTTTCCCACTAACGCTCCTCCATCTTCTCCTCTTCCTCAGTCCGCACCCTTAACCCCAACCTTACTTTCCAGCTCCTCATCCAATCTACACTGTGATTGTCCCTGCAAACACTGAGTCAATCTCTCCACCCCTAAATGCCTCTCCTTCTCCACAGGCGTGATGCCCCACTGGAGTACAAGCTTCCTGACGGCAGGGACGGCCCACACCTGTATTTGTATCCTTCGTGCTTGGTATCTATCAGCACCTACGATGGCCGGGCATCTCCTGATGACACCAGAACACAAAACACTCCAACATCTTGGGCTTTTTCATTGCTTGCACACTGACTGATACCGCTCACTGTGGCGGACCAGGTTCAAGTCAGACCTCCGTGCCCCGGCGGCCTCAGAATCCTTGTCCGTCCACCAGGCTGGGCTCTCCATCGAGGGCCACAATATCCGCTAGTACTTCAGGCCTCCTCTTGGCCTCTCTGCCTCCAGCCTTCCCATTCTGACAGACCTTCCGTGAGCAGAGAGAGGTCAGGCTGTCACTTAACTGTTCAAGAACCATTCGTGCCTAGACAAAGTGTAAACCAGCTTTGTTCGGCATTTAAAGCCCTCCAAAATCTGGTTCTAGGCTCTTCTCTTCACCTGCATGGGTGTGTGGAATGTTTTATGGATGCAGTTACCAAGTGCTTACCACATGCTCAGGAGCAGGAAGTACAAAGCACACAGGACCGTCTCAGATATAAACACTAAATGGAACAGTATCTAAAGTCCCACGTATAAAGGGAACCAGGCTGCCCAAGGACAGTCATTGACACCATCAGGCACATGCACGTTATTCTTTCATGGACAGATTAATCTGACCAAAGAATAAACAAAAAAGAAAACACAAAACTGAGCAGACTGGAGACGTGAGATTGGAGAAACACATAGTGTATCTCTGAATGTAGAGAGAAGAGTGACCGAGAAACTTCTCAGGACTCTGATAGGTCAGTGCTGGAGCAGAGAGAGCAGAGGGAAGTGGAGAAAAGTGAGAACGTTTCAGCATCCTCTACAGACCAAAGTGCCACACAAATGCAGGTGACTCGAGGGCGATGCCGGGAAAGAGAACCGGGAGCAACAGCTGGTGTGAGTGGGATAGAGACCACCTACCCACATAAAAACTCAAGAGGTTTCTCTCAGTAGAAACAGAAGTTATATCTTAGCAAGTCTCGCCCGAGAGTTGGGCATCACCTACCCAGGGCGGACTGGAGTAGTGAGGCCAGATACAACAGCAAGCAACCAGTTATATACCCCTAGACAAACCACTCCAAGAAACCCCCCTCCCCACTTGTTTAACTCAATCTCTTTATCCTCATTGGTTGAAGCAAGAGATCTTACAATCTATATTTAGAACCCAAGAGATACATTTTACCCAAACCAAGCTTGGGAGCTAGAGGATTGCCTTATTTGGCAAAGACAAGGCTGGGGTGGTGGTTACAAAACAAGGGAGGGGGTGGGCAACAGGTGTATGACCCTATTACATGATTTACAGGAAAACAAAACTTAGGCCCAGCTAATGCTAAAGCCTTAACTAAATTTTTGGGGCACAGCTTCCATTTCATATGAGAAACTTTCACTTGTCCCACACATGGTGTAACAAAAGAGCTGGGGGTGCATCCAGAAAACCGAAAGACCAGGTTAGCAGACTGAACACCATCTTCTTTAGAAAAGAAAACACAATTTGTAAAAGCCATGGTTAGCACACCCACTGGAAGCCCAGAGCACACAAACAGAAGGGGTGAAATTTGCACTCTGGGTGGGCATTACATGGCCCGGGGCGCACAAGCTCCCTGAGGGCAGGGGCTGGCTCTTCCTTTGGCAGCAGGGAGGGGGAGGAGGGAGAGGAGGGAGAGAAGAAGGGAGAGGGGGGAGAGGAGGAGAGGGGAGGGGAAGGAGGAAGGCCCTGGCCTTTAGGCTGTCAGCTCCCTGAGGGCAGTGGCCCTGTCTGGTCTCTTTTTGTAAGCCCAGTCCTTAGGCACACAGTAGGTGTTTAATGAATGTTTATCATACTGTACAGTAAAATAAACCTTGGGCTTGCCCACACCAGGGACGGCCAAAGAACAGGGACCAAGGAGCCTTGGAAACCATGAAACTGGTCTAATGAAGCCTATCACCTCCAATGCACACCCGCAGGCAGTCTCACACCCAGCATTCACACACAAGTGCACACCCAGCAGGCACTCTCTCACGCACAAAGTGCTCACAATCACACTCTCCCTGTCACGAGGATTCACGCGAACACACTGGGAGGCGCAGGCGCACATATGTAAATGAACCTCCCTCACCCACCCCCCACCGGAATCACACGCGGACACACGCACAGCCCCCTCCTGGCCCTCTCCCCTCCCCTCCCCGTGACGTCACCCAGGAGGGGACTCACCTCGTGGTGCGCCTCTCCCTGGGCTCCCGGGGCACACCGCAGCTCGCTCCCAGCGCCAGCTGAACATTGCGCCTGCGCAGAAGCTCTTCCTTACTCCGCCCCAGCCGTGGAGACGCCTTATGGAGACTTCTGGGAAACGGAGTCCTGAGCCTCTCTAAGAGCGCGCAGGCGCAATGGGGAGGCTGGTGAAGGTGAGGCTTTTTTTACGGGGGGCGGGGGCCTGGAGGGGTGGGGCCTTATGGGGCGGGGCCGGGCGGGCACATAAGTAAAGCCTGGTTTGCCTGAGCTCGCGTGAGCAGGTGCTGCATGTGTGCACGCCGAGATGTGCACGCAGGTGAGCTCTTCGCAGACCTCCCCACTCCCCCGACACACACAGCTGAGTAAGGTTTCACACACCACCACACCCCATCCCCCACTTGAACACTGATATGAACGGAGATCTCACTTGCTGTGCGCCCGCCTGTTAGCAGGGAGAGGGCTGTCCCTTGTCATGCGTTCCCTAGACCCTGCATGGAGCTAGGCATACAGTAGGCGATTTAGAATGTAGACCCGAAGAAAACAACTTTGCAGAAGTCAGGAGGGGTGGACAAGAGCACACGTTCCAGCCAGCTCTGGAAAGCCCGTTGTTAAATGTTCAGTGTGAACATTTCCATCATGGAAATCGAAGGCTACAAATAAGGGCTTCGTTTGTTTAGTTGACTGTTTGGACTTAAGACAGTGTGAAAAATGCAGATTAACTTAAGAGTGCATCTCCCTCCCATCTTTTCAGGAGATTCAGGTTGTTAAACATCGACCAGAACGTCCCTAGGAACATAGTACACCTTATTAGACTTTTTTTCATGTTGCGCAGTTATTTCAGTCCTGCCCACTCTTTGCGAACTCGTTTGGGGTTTTCTTGGCAAAGATACTGGAGTGTTTGTCATTTCTTTCTCTGGCTCATTTTACCGATGAGGAAACTGAGGCAGACAAGGTTAACTGATTGCCCAGAGTCACATAGCTAGCATATCTGAGACTGGATGTGAGCTTCGGTCTTCCTGACTTCAGGCCCAGCTCCACTGTGCCACCCACGTGCCCTTTTTTCATAGTTTTGATCAATTTTGCTGATTCTCCCCCCCCCTGCCTTTCTCTTTTAAATAAATTTTTGGATCTCAGGAGCAGCTGGGGCCTGGGGTCCAGAAAGACCCGGGTTCCTGATGCTGGACAAGTCACTTGACCCCTGTTTGCCTTGGTTTCCTCATCTGTAAAATGAGTTAGAGAAGGAAATGGCAAACCACTCCAGCATCTTTGCCAAGATAACCCCAAATGGGGTCACAGAGAGTCGGACACAACTGAATGGCAGCAGCTAGTACACCCCAACGTGTCCAGGGTAGCCGTGAGGGTCAAATGAGAGAATATTTGTAAAGCACTTTGTCCTGCGCCTGGCACTTAGTAGGTGCTATATAAATGTTAGCTATCATGAAGAAGATGATGATGATGGTGCTGTGGGAGAGAAAAGGGGAGGAAAACGGAGGGAAATGAAGGCCAAGTCAAAACAAAAAGGTACCAATCATTTTTTGTCTTGGACCCAAAAGACTCTGGGCAAGATGGGGAGGTGTCAGGGCTATGCTGGGGTGGGCCAGGACCTAAGACACAGAGTCTCAGAGAGTCGGAAGGGTGCCCAGGAGACCTCCAGTCTAACCCGTGCTTGAACAAGAATCCTTTCTACAACCAAGAGCAGTCAGGCAGTCATGCAGCCTCCCCTAGAAGACCTCCAGGAATGGGGAGCTCACTCCCTTTGGAGGCAGAGGTAGCCACGCTGGATGTCTGGGGCTTCCCAGGTCTTCAGTTCTCCAGCTTCAACCTGCCTTTGTGGCCCAGGTCTCCCACCCTCCTGCTCACTCTTCTCTCCTTGCTCAGGCACAGAACAGTTGGCTCAGCTCAGTCCACCAGTTTCAGAGTCTGATGAGGAGCTAGTCTAGCTGAGGGACTTCCTTGGTCCAGCCAGCCCAGCAGCAGACTGACCCTTCCAGCTAAGACATTAAATCCTAGGGGGAACAAACCAGCTGGGCCACTAGTGCCAGTGCAGACACTATATCCTGAGGACCCAATAAAACAATTCATAGAGAACTTCATGAGAAAGCCCATTGAAGGTCTCCAGTTTTGAAGATGTAAGTTGCCTTGGCTAAGTGTGTCTCCATATGTGTGTCTTACTACCAGTGTACTTTGGGCTCCTCCTGGATCCCTCTTGGACTCAGGATATATTTGTAGAAAAGTGTGTTCCTAGTGTTGGGGAAAATGAATTGAAATTAATGAATGTGTAAATGCCTCTGCTTAAGGTTTGAGTCTACTGGCTGATTCTTAAGAAGAAGCACACCAGCTGAGGCTTGTGAGCTAGGGTACGGGAGGATGGTCACCTCCAGGACTACCCTGAGAATCTTTGGAGTAGTAAAAGCCACCCCCTTGGGGACTCAATAGGCCAGTGGTGGTCTGGGTAGGGCAAGTGAGCCCTGAGGGGTGTCAAACAGGTTTCTCTGAATCTCTCCCTCTTATCATTTCTTAAAGTGCTATAGTATTTTATTATATGCATATAAGGTTCCCCTTCTAATTGTGACTGCATTGATTTTGTTTGTGCAGATATGTTCAATGTCATGCAATACAAATTGTCCATTTTATTTCCTGTGATCTTTTCTATCCCTTGTTTGATCAAGAACTCTTCCCTTCTCCATAGTTGTAAAAGCTACCTTTTTCCTTAGCTCCTCAAATGGGTTTATGAGATTGACTTTTGTATCTAGGCCACAAGCCTTTTAGAAGTTATTACGGTATATGGTATAGGTCAAAGCCTACCTTCTGCTGGACAGCTGCCCAGTCTCCTCAGGATTAGGTGGGTTCGATTTATCCAACTGGATAAGTTTATCCAACACTGAGCTACTGTGTTTATTTGTTTCTGGATCTTGTCTACCTAATCTGTTCTACTGGTCTATTGTCTAGGTCTTCAACTACCAAACAGTTTAGATGATTACTGCTTTGCAGGATAATCTGAGATCTGGAACTGTAAGGTCCCCTTTCTTTCCACTTCTTTTCATTATTTCACTTGAGACTCACGAGCTTTTATTTTTCCAGATGAAGCTTGTTATTGTTTTTTTCTGGTTCTATAGAGTAATATTTTGGTAGTTGAATGTTATGGCTCCAAACAAGTAAGATAATTTAGGTGGAATTGTCATTTTTGTTGTATTAGCATAACCCAACCATGAACAAGTAATAGCATTCTAATTATTTAGGTCTAATTATTCTAATTATTTAGGTTACATTCATAGAGTCCCTATGAGGCTTGATTGGTGGGCTCCCCAATATTTTATACATTCTGTAGTTATTTTGGATGGAATTTCTCTATCTCTGTCTTCTGGGTTCTGTGGGTGCCATACCCACAAAAGCCAATGATTTATATGGGTTTCTTTTATATTCTGCTACTTCGCAGGTAAGTGGCAACAAAGTGATTAAGATTTTGTGGGGAAGCAGGAGTCACCCACAGACTCTCTGTTAACCACCAAGGTGCTTCATTGGTAGTTGGAGAAAAGAGAGGGGCCAAAGGGCATGTGTCCTTGAAGAGGCTCCACAACACTGCTCACCTGGCCACACTGCCACAGCATCTGGGACATGGGATCTCAGTTCTCTGGTGGGTGTTCCAGGCACGTCTTATGCCACAACTGAGGAGCCCCAACTTTCAAGGGCAAGGCTGGCCATCACTCAATCAGGATGGAAAGTTAGATCACTTAGGATAAAAACTGGTGAGTATCTGAAGATTGAAGAAGGGTTTTAAAACCTAGGGCATAACTCGTCCCATTCAAGACCTGCTTGGTTAACCAGACTGTTTTCCTTCTTTTCTAGGATATGTGCCAGGAACATCCCAGCCTCATGTCACCTTTTAGAGGACTTTTCATTCTATAGCATGTCTTACAATTAATACTTCTTTCCATGATGTTCTGAAATCTTTGAGTCATACAATTACATATGTGATAGCTAGCATTTACATAGTGTTTGAAGGTTTGCAAAGTGCCTTACAAATATTATCTCATTTGTCATTCACAACCCTGGAGGTGGGTGCTATTATTATCCCCATTTTACGGATGAGAAGACCAAGGCAGGCAGAGGCAAAGTGATTTGCCCAGCATCACACAACTAGGAAGTGTCTGGGGCTGGACTTGAATTCAGGTCTTCCTGACTTCAGGTCTGGTGCTGTTACCCACTCTGCCACCAGCTGCCCATGTAGACATATACACACGCATATACAAAGTAGTGTGTTAAGCTGTGCGAAGCACTCTCTTTACATCTCCCTCCTTTAGATCCTCACAACCCTGGGAGGCAGGTGCTATTATTATTCTCATTACATTCATATGCCAGCTCTTAGTCATACAGGGCACTCCTTGGCATAGATTTTGCTCCCAGTTTTTTATTACCCATGATGCTGTGATGAATGTTTCTGCACATAGATATTTTCTATGTGCATGTTTGCTGTTGAAATAAATATGAATCTCTTCTTGCTGTTACTGACCTCCTAGGGTTACAGATCCAGTAATCAGATCTGTGGACCAAAGGTATGAGCAATTTTAGAACTGTTCTCACAAAACTCCACATGCTTCCTGGCAGCTGGACCAGTTCCCAACTCCAGTAGCAGAGAGCCCATTTGTCTGTCTTCTCACTCCCTGCCTGACATTGATTTTCCCATCTTCTACCCTCCTTGCTAACCTGAGGGCTGTTAGGTGACACCTGGGGATTAGGCTCATTTGCATTTCTATGATTATTAAGGAGTTTGGATTTTTCAAATAGCCCAGTGATGGTATGTAGACAGTGTGTGTCTATATACTTTGCCTGCTAGTTTATTGAAGGGCATGGCTTGTAATCTTAGAGATGTTCTGTCAATTCCTTAGGGATGCTGGATGTCAGAGACCATTAATATTCAAGGTTATTACTAGTAAATATGTTTTCCCTTCCATTAAATAGTTAGATTATCTCCTTTGGTGGTGGTGGGTGGGTGGTTGGGGGCATCAGTAGAAGGTACCTGCAGCTCATGCTTGAAACACTCCAGCCCCAGGATCCTGCCCGACCTCTTCTCCCAACCCACACCCAGATCCCAGGCCCCTGTCTTTTTAAGTGAAGCAAGTGTTAGGCATCCGTAATTTCTTCCCATTGAAATGATCCACTCATACTGGCCCTTAGATACATACATCCTCCTCCCCAGCTTGTCTTGGCTGACCAGGCCACTTTTACTGGGATCTGAACCTTTTATGCTCCTCTTGCCCAGCCCAGATAACAACATGGTTCCTGAGCCCTGGTTCCCCCACTCCCTCAACCCCAGACTTGTTGGTTCCAATGTTCTTAATCTGCAGCACCCTGATTTCAACAAATAGTTACTTCCCTTCTTGAAGACAATTCTGTCTGCTTCCTACTCATGGGATTAGCACTATCGGTTCTCTCTTTGCTCACTCAGTGATCTTCAGAAAAAGTGGGATTTCTAAGAGGCAATACTCTTGCATTCTACTGGGACTCTGTTTTGATTGACTCATTACAATGGTTTCTATGCTGATTTTTCTGCAAGTTTTCTTTGTGAGAATTTATTTCTTTTTCTCTCTGTGATTCTTTCACTTTAATAGGTGCATTTCTTGAAGTTCTAAGGGGAAGGGAAGTCGGGCTTTGGCAGAACCTTTTCCTTCTGTATCACTTTGATTTGAGGGAAGTTCCTCTAGCATGAGTTCACTGATGGTGAAGCAGGCTGGACCTCTGAGTGGGAGCTTTTCCACATTCGCTACCTTCACAGGGATTCTGTCTCGGATATTTGGTGATGTCAGTAATGAAAGCTTTCCCATATTCCATACATTTGTAGGCTTTCCTACCAGGTGGAATTCTCTGATACAGATTAAGAGTCTTCTTAAGACTGAAGGGTTTACCACATCCTTGACATTCATAGTTTCTCTCCAAAGTAAATTCTGTGATTCTAAGTAAGATCTGATCTCCAGATGACAAGCAGTTTTCACATTCATGGCTCTATGCACGTTGATTAGTTCATGTTCAGTAATGGCTCAGATCTAACTGAATCAGGCTTTCTCTAATTACTAAACACTCAACTTTTCTCTCTAGCATTATTTCTTCAGGTTAATAAGGTCTGAGCTCTGCCTAAAGGTTTTTCACATTCCTTACATTCATAAGGTTTCTCTCTCTCTGGACAAAGGCCTTTCCATTGCTTACATAGGTAAGACTTGTTTCCAGTAATGAATTCTCTGATGTTGATTAAGAGCTGATCTCTGGATGAAGGCTTTGCCACATTCCTTACATTTGTAAGGTATTTCTCCAGTGTGAATTCTCTGATGTTCAGTAAGAACCGTGTTCCTGCGGAATGCCTTCCCACAGTCTTTGCATTTGTAAGGTTTCTCTCCAGTATGAGTTATCTGATGATGTATGAGGGCAGAGCTCTGCCTAAAGGCTTTCCCACATTCCTTACATTCATAAGGTTTCTCACCAGTGTGAATTCTCTGATGGTGAATAAGACCTGAGTGCCCACTGAAGACTGCCCCACATTCTTTACATCCAAAAGGTTTCTCTCCAGTATGAATTCTATAATGCTGAATAAGGGATGATCTCTGTTTGAAGGCCTTCCCACATTCATTACATTCATAAGGTTTTTCTCCAGTATGAATTCTCTGATGTTGAATAAGGGATGAATTCTGGCTAAAGGCCTTCCCACAATCCTTACATTCATAAGGTTTCTCAACAGTGTGAGTTCTTTGATGCTCAATGAGGTATGAGCGCCAACTGAAGGCTGCCCCACATTCCTTACACTCATATGGTTTATTTCCACTATGAATTCTTTCATGTTTAATAATGTCTGATCTCTGGCTGAATGCCTTCCCACATTCCTTGCACTCATAAGGTTTCTCTCCAGTGTGAATTCTCTGGTGTCGAATAAGATGTGAGTTCTGCCTGAAAGCATTTCCACATTCCTTACATGTATATGGCTTCTCTCCAGTGTGAATTCTCTGGTGTTTGGTAAGGCTGGAGCTCTGACTGAAAGCCTTCCCACATTCCTTGCATTCATAAGGTTTCTCACCAGTGTGAGTTCTCTGGTGTTCCATGAGGTATGAGCGCCAAGTGAAGGCGGTCCCACATTCCTTACACTTGTATGGCTTCTTTCCACTCTGAAGTTGGTCATTTTTAGTAACATCTGAGTTCTGGTTGAAGGCCTCCCCAAACTCTGTATAGTCACAGGCTCTCTCACAAGAGTGGGTTTTCTGGTGTTTAGTGAGACCTGAGCTCCACCGAAAGGCCTTTCCACAATGACTACACTTATAGGGTTTCTCTGTCTCTCGAGTTCTCTCACAATTTATGATGTCTGAATGGTTGCTGAAAGCCTTGCCATATTCCCTGCATTTATAAGGTTTCTCTTCACCATGAGATCTCTGATTTTGAATACAAGGTGACCGCTTGCCAGAATTCTGTCTACCTTCTTCCAAATCACAGGGTTCATTTCTGTTCTGCTGATCATGGGGAAGATTCCCATGTTCATCAGGAGCCCTCAGTCCTGGGTGCTTGGGCATGCTCTGACCAAAGCTCCTTCCCAAGTCAGTACATGCATGGTCTCCCTGTGCAGTGGGTGCCAGGACAGTCGACTGGCTGAGATCTTTTTCCTGGGAAAGGCCTTTCCTTGGAGTCTCCCCTGCAAGGCTTCCCATTTGTTTCCATAACATGACCTCCCGGTAAGGACTCTCCCAAAATGTGGGGACCTGGGGAACAACGCACCTTCTAGGGCCGTCCACAAATGTCCACAACAATCCTCTTCCTTTTTGTCTTCCAAGTGACTCCTCCTGGTTCTCAAGTCTAGAATCCCAGGCTGAAAAAAAATTCAGAAGGAAAAGAATTTGAATCTAAGCCGCCAATGACCTCAGAGGGCAAAGGCCCACCCTTACCACTATCGTGAATCTTGCTAACCCACAGAAAACTGGCAGCTAAGGAAGCCAATGCAGGCGTAGGGCACACTAACAGAGGAACGGTGTCTACGGAGCTGCTAACAGCAATAATAGTAACAATATGGAGGAGGCTGCTATCAAATGAGATAATACTTGTAAAGTAGTTACTGCCTGACACATAGTATTTTATAAATGTTAGCTATTACTAATAACAGTAACCACAGCTAGCATTTACATACATCTATAAAGTTATATATGAAAGATACATATATACATATATGAAATATACATAGATACATATGCATACATATATACGTGTGTTTGTGTGTGTGTGTGTGTGTGTGTGTGTGAAACCTCAATTTATCCTCAAGAAACCCCTGGCAGTTAGGTGCTAATATTACCCACATTTTGTCGATCAGTTATTTCAGTCCTGTCTGACTCTTGGTGATCCCATTCGGGGTTTTCTTGGCTGAGACACTGGAGTCCTTTGCCATTTCCTTCTCCGACTCATTTTACAGATGAATAAACTGAGGCAAAAGGGGTTAAGTGATTGGCCCAGGGTCACACTGAGGCAGATTTGCACTCTGGCTTTCCTGCCTCCATCCACTGTGCCCCAAGCTGCCTGGTATCCGACTATATCTGACCACGGTCAGACCACACTGGAAGTTTGAGGTTCAATTGAAGAAATCACATTTGAGGAAGGGCATTGGTGACCAGGAGTGGGTCCTGAGGAGGGACACCAGGACAGAGAAGGGCCACATGTTTGAATGAGGGCAGGCTGTCTCCCTTTAGTATGTATTCCCAGGACCTAGCACAGTATTGGGCACATATTAAGCATTAAATAAAGGCTTCTCATTCCTTCATTCATAGCTTGAAAGCTCTAGGGACATTTAGTCTGAAGGACAGAAGACACGGCAGCTGTCTTTGAGTATCTGAGGCCCAGCCATGTGGATGAAGGATTCCCAGAGGCAGGGAACCCTGTGGCCTCCAGGTCACACGTGGCCTTCTAGGTCCTTGAGTTCGGCCTTTTGACCAAGTCCAAGTTTTACAGAACAAATCCTTTTCTGAAGGGGATTTGTTCTATGAAGTTTGGATTCAGTCAAACAGCCGCACTTGAGGACCTAGAGGACCACATATGGTCCTGAGGCCCAGGTTCCCCACCCCTGGATTAGAGTTTGTCTTCTTGGCCACCAAAGACAGAAATAAGGACAATGGGTAGACGTTCCAAGAGGCAAATCCTGCCTTCCTATAAACATGGAAAACCTTTGGAGCAGCTCAGGCCTCCAGAATGTGAATGGGCTGCCTGAGGAAGGAAGCAGGGAGTGGCCCTCACTGGGGTCTTCCAGGGGGACTCTGGGGTGGACCTCTGAGGCCCCTGACAGTCTGCTGTGTCCTCACTGACCCAGGGGCAGCCTCTCTTTCTGGGGATGAAGAAGCTGAGGTTAAGAGGTGGCCAATGTGGCCATGACAGGTTAGTCCCAGGGCTGGGACCAGGCCTCAGGCCTGGCCTGCTGACCCCTACCTCTGTGCCCTCCCCACTGAGCCACGTGGCTGACTACATGGAGAAGGAGCAGTCTGCCCTGGGATGAGGATGAAGGGATGGCCAACGGGACTGATGAGGAGAGCCGTTGCATGGGCCCTTTCCATTTAGAAAGTGATGAGAGAGACGTGGCAAGGGGGCTGGTCAGAGGGAGCTGGCCCAGTGGGCAGGAGGAGCCCCCCAAGGGAGGGGGGAAAGTACACTGTGGGAGGCAGCCAGGTCAGCTCATCACAGAAGGAGGGTATGACCCTGGCTGCCACCGATCGCCCAGTCACTCAACTGACTGATAAGCCCATTTTCAGGGCCCACGCTGCGCCAGCACAGGGACACCCAGAAGGGAAATGGTCCTTGCCCTCCAAGAGCTTACACTCCATGGGAAGAGAACATGTACACGTGGACAAATATACCAAGCTGTTTGGGGAGGTGGGGTAGGCCCTGGCAACTGGGGCATCTAGCTGAGCCTTCAGTAGGAGGTGGCACATAAGCTGAGGAATCAGGGCTCCTAGGGGGCACAGGGGAAGAGGGAGGGCATCCCAGGCATGGGGTACAGCTGTGTGCAAAGGCGTGGCAATGTGACCCTGGGGGAGGAGCAGCAGGAAGGCCAGTGCGGCTGGCCTGAAGAGGGCATGACAAGGAGGGACGTGTGAGATCTGGGGAAAGGCCTTCATGTCACAGAGGAGTCATGGCATCCTAAAGACCCCAGGGAGCCAGCAGCTCACTGAGCAGGGTGTGACCTGGTGAGCCTTGGGCTTTAGAAATGCTGACAGGCAGCGGTGGCAGGGACCTCTGAGAAGCAGAACAGCATTCAGAGATCATTTTTAAAGGCCTCTCATTTTACCAATTAGAAAACTGAGGATGAGGGGGCACGTGAACACTCCAGGGCACACACTGAGTTATCCCGTGTGTGCACTCAGAAGACACAGAGTGATGTCTCCGTCAGCCTCAGGCCTTGGACTTCCCGACCCTTGCAGACCAGGGAGGTGGTGGGTAAATCCCCAGCAGCACCTGCCCTGGGGACCCTCCAGACTCCACCTGCACCACCCCACACTTCAGAGAAGGCCATACCTGAGGGCCCAGAGGGGCTGTGACATCCACGGGCTCCTCGACACCGGGCGGAAGGGTCTCCTCCCCAGGGACAGGGGCTCCTGGGGCCCTCTCCCTGCAGGTCCAAGGCCCATGGCTCTTCCTCTTGTTCCAGCCAGGAGACCAGGTCTGGTTTGTCCTCTATGAGCCCTGCCCACAGGAGAAAAGGAGACAGCTCTGTACTGGTGGAAGGGGGCTCAGCTGTGACCGCCCTTGGATGGTGGAGGAGAAGAGGCAGGTTTTACCTATTGGTAGCAAATGACTACACCTGTCAGAATCAATTATTCTGCAAGCATGTATTAAGTACCTCCTGCATTTGAGGTGAGAGGGTATGCTGGGGGCCGGCCTTGGAGTCAGGTCCCACCTGCAACCCTCACTAGCTGTGTGACCCAGGGGACTCCCCAGGACTACAAGTGACTGAGGAGGTGTTGTTGGGCAGGTGTCTGATAGACAGAGCTCCCTCATAGGAGCTTCCCTACAGCAATTCAGTCACATGGGTCTGGGGGTAAAGCAACAAAACTGCTCATGTACCTGGTGCTCAGATACGGAGATACAAAGACCCCAGTTCCTGCTTCCAAAGCTTAGATTGAATCAGTATGTCCACTTCATCTACACACACACACACACACACACACACACAGAGTAACTGGGGGCAGGCATTAGCAGATAATGGGATCAAGAAGGATTTCACATCAGGAGGAATGGGAGCTGAGCTCTGAAGGGAGGGAGGCCTTCTGAGAAGCAGAAGCAAAGCAGGGGGCCCGCAGGTATGGGGGTGGGGGAATAGTCCTTAGAGGCCTGAGGTGGAGCTTCAAAGGAGCCGCTATCAGAGATATTTGACAGAAAAATGATGGCCCCCAATGGATACTTTTATCCTCCAGTCATAACCCAAATGTACAGGTTGTCTCTTGTGTTCAACCCTACCCCTTTGTTTAAAAAATTATTTTCCCCAAATCATAAATGTGAAAGGGACCCTTTTCCATTCTCTGCCACTTTTAAAATGATTTGACCTCTTGATCAGCTGTCCATGTGGAACGGGCACCACCACGTGGTGTGACATGTTGGTCTAGGTCTGCTTACTGCCTTGAGGCTCTCCAGTCCTCCCTGTCCACCTTCCACACAGCTGCCAAAGTGGTTTTTCTCAAGGGCAGGTGTGCTTGCACCTGCCCTAATCACTGCGTGCCAGCTGCCTGGCACCCAGCACCGAAAGCCCTTCACCTCCTGGTCCCAACTGCCTTCCTCTCTCTCTAAAAATGCCTCTCTTTCATTGTGATGGACATCCACCAGGTTTTTCTTTGCTCTGCCTCCACAAAAAGTCTGCTACAGACAGTCAGTTGTAAACGGGACCTTCAGAACCAGCCTCTTCTGTGGCACTGAAGAAAGCGTGCCCCACGAATGCAGTCGGCGCCAACCGCAGAGTGGTGGATGGCAGGTGAGGAAGGGGCTGGCAGAGGGGATGGCTTATTCCCCTTTCCTAGACTTCCTTTGGGAGAGGGCAGAACGGTGATACTGTAAAAACATCAATCAAGGGCACAATTTTTAAAATCAGGAGAGGAAAATGCCCTAAGTAGGGTTAAAATGATCTGCCTGTGGGATCTCAGGAAAGTCACAGAACTGAACCCTTCTGGGTGGAATTCAGGAGACCAGGACCATCCCATCCACCCTCCCTCCAAAGGAGCATGTCCTCTAGACCCGCCTCCTCCCTGACCCTCCAGCCTCTCCTTCAAGCTCTCGGGGGATGGGGAAATCAGCCCCACTCTGGGCCCAGTTTCCTCTTGTTTAAATGAGGTCAGGGAACTTAGGGGCAATGCCTGATTGAGAGGAGAGTCCAGCAGAAACAAAACGGCTCAATTATGTTCCCAAAACGGGGAGAATGACGGGTATTTTAAGACTGTCAAAAAAGCCCTGGGCAGGGACTCAAGGAACCTCATTTCCCAGCCCATCTGGGCCAAGTTTGCTGTGTGACCTTGGATAAATCCCTCACCCAGCCTCAGTTCCCACCAATGTAAAATGAAGGCATTGGGGCAGATTCTACTTCTGGCTTCTGAGGGAGATGAGAGAAGGAAGGACTTTAGGGAAAGAGAAAGCAGGATACCGTGGAGGGGTGCAGAGCTGGGGGTCAGTGTCCAGGCAGGCTTTCCAGTTCAGTCTGAACCAGATCAGTGGAATTGGAAATGCTTAAGAAAGTAAATAAAAATAAGGCACTATCACAGATAATGGTATTTTGTGGTTTTCTAAGTCAAGACACGGCCAGCAGGGATCAGTTCCATTTGAGTTTGACACCACTGACTTAGAGAACTGGCTTAGTGACAAAGACCTAGGGGTGAATCTGAGGGAAACTGAGGAAGTGAGAAGGATTCTCTCTTGGCCCAGGGAACATCCAAGCTCTCCCTCCAGCTTCAAAGAGGAATGGGATCCCCACCAATGAGCCCGGGGGATGTTTCCCCACGATAAAATGCTGCAGGACTCCAGGGCCGCTCCGGATCCTCCTCGCTGTAAAGTGATAGCCCAAGGACTAAGCAGGACCAAAGAGGGTAGAGAAAAGACCCAGAGTAGGAGGAGGGCTCAGGAGGGAGACAAGAGAAAGGGAGAGTTCACCAAGCAGGTGGAGCGGACAAGCAGAATGCAATAGGTTCTGGGGAAAATTCTCTGGGGAAAGCTATCCCAGGACGGACAGAAGATGCTCAAGAATGAAATTCTGAGATAAAAAGGGGGAAATGCCAGCGAGGAGGAAAATAGGAATTGTCTAGAGAGATGTGGCTGCACAAAGAACTCTCCCACCAAGCTTCTATAAAGCAACGTTCAGAAGACGCAAGCAATGAACACAAGAGGGCAGCACTGCCCGGGAAGGCAGTATTAAGGGTGCTCAAGCTCAGAACAAGGGAAGGCTGGTGGGGTAGGGGAGCCAACCAAAAAGGGGAGGGGCTCCTTTGAACAAGATTGAGAGGAAAAGGAGTCTAAGAAGGGATGAGACCTTTGCTTGGGGTGGATTGTATATAACATAAAGCTAACATTGACCTAGGGGCTGTGAGGGGACACAGTGCATAGAGCACCTAGAGTTCAAATCTAGCCTAGCTGTGTGACCCTGGGCAAGTCACTTCCTCCTGTTTGCCTCTGTTTCCTTCTGTGTAAAATCAGCTGGAGAAGGAAATGGCAAACCACTGCAGTATCTCTGCCAAGAATGGGGCCATGGAAGAATTGGACATGACTGCAAAGATTGAGCACACAACAAAACATTGATGTGGATGTCTGAGGTTCGCAAAATGCTTTACACAGACTGTCTCATTTGCTGGTAGAGAGATGAAGCCTGACTCCATGCCAGGCTCAGGGCCCAGCTGCCCACTGATCCAGGAGACCATGGCATCACACAATGATGACAACTGCAGCTGAGGTTTGCATGGAGCTGGAATGACTTGCCTGAGCCACAGCTGCTCAGCGGGCTTCCTGCCTCCACTTCCCACACCCTAGTGGGCCACTGCAGGACCATGACTGCCAGCAGACAGTGCAGAGTGACCCAAGGCCCCTGTTCCTCCTGTTTTCTCTGCCTAGGGGAAGGCCTGGAAAGGAAGGACCTGCCCTGACGGACCCAAGTTCCCTGGGCATGATGAACTGTATCCCCGGCCCCCAGACTGGACAGCGTGGTCGCTGACCCGCCATCTGTGACACAGGAAAGATCTTGGACAGTGGGCAGAGAATGGGGCCTGCCAACCATCCAAGAGTAAGCCTGACTTTGATGCCCAGGAAATTCCAGACCCTCAAAGCAATGGTGGGCAAATACCCAGAAAAGGAAGTCCCCCAGAATGGGCCACACCCAACCCACCTTGGCCACTTTTCTGAGCACCTGTGATGAAAGACCCCCACGGGAAGTTCCCCACAACTGAAATGAAGGATTTCCTACCATTCTTGGAGAGAAGGGGTCAGTCAGTCAGCAAACCCTTGCCAAGCACTCAGGGGTGCCAGGAGCTGTGCTACCTGCCTGTCTGGGGCAGAGCACAAGCGGCTCCGAACAAACAAGACAGAGATAAGAGGAGCGACATCCCCCAGGAGAGAAGGCCCTGGTGCTCCAGGGACCAGCAAAGGCTTCGTCCAGCATGTGCCACGGTGGGGAGGCCAGGAGGGGCTCCAGGTGATGACCCCAGAACACTTGGTCCCTAGCCAGCCCTCTTCTGGCTTTTCCTGTCTAGACCTCATTGGGACACATTTGTTTACTTGTCTCCCCATCAGACTGTGTGCTGTTAGAGGGCAGGGACTGGCTTCTGCCTCTTTTTGTGACCCTTGTGCCTGGCTCAGTGCCTGGCACACAGCAGGTGCTTAATAAATGTTTACTGTCTGACTGACCACCGCAGGGTCTCCCCAACAGCCTCGGCAGCACCAACAGCCAGGGAAGAGCCACGTCTCCCTCCCACCAAAGGGCCAAGAAGCCCCTGGCCTAGGCAGCCTCTGCTGGGTCTGTGGGGACAGGAAAGAGAGGGCCAGAGGCCACACCATCCTGGAGGCCTGGACCAGAAAAGATGCCCCCCAGCCCTGGGCCCAGCGGAGGCAGCCTTACCCAGGGACACCAGGTTCCTGTAGTTCTCCAGCATCACCTCCTTGTAGAGCTGCCACTGAGCAGGGCTCAGGCACCCCCTTTCCTCCTCGGTAAAGTCCACAGCCACGTCCCTGAACGACACCACTTCCTGCAACACCAAACACAGGCGTGCTGGCCCGGGGGGCACTGGACCCCGGAGGAGGGGGGAAAGGCAGCAGGAGGTGGGCGTTTGTGGGCAAGGCTTTGTGCCTCGGTTTCCTAACCCTAAAACCAGGGGCTTGAACCAGACACCCTCCGAGAACCCTTCCAACTGTCCATCTACACTCCTCTCAGCCCAGACATGGCCCTGGGAGCCCTGGGGAGAAGGGCCCCCGATGGTGAGGAAGTGGATCTGGGGGAGGCAGGGGCCCTATGCCCTACAGCAAACTGGGGAGGCAACGGGTGGTCTGCAGGCTCTGCTGGAACCCTCTTCTTGGAGGCTGGACCAGATGACCTCAGGGAAGGAGGCCTCTGAGCCAGGCCTGCAGCCCAGGGGCTGGCCAGCCTGGTCTATGGTAATTCTCATGACTGACCACCAACTTTAAGAAGCCCCTGAGGACTCAGGGGCAGCAAAGAGCGGTCTGGGAGCCCGGAGGACAGTCCTGGGGCAGGAGGAGACCCCGACTCACCTGGTCTGGGGCCAAGGGGTCCCTGGGGGACCCGCCATCCTCCTCCAGGCTTCCCTCATGGGGAAGAAGGAGATTCAGAGCCATGAGACCTGAGACCTGAGGGTGGAGAGAAGAGCCTCTGTCAGGGAAAGAACCAGCCTTTTAGCCCCTGCCGGCCTGGTGAGGACCAGCTGCCTGCCGGGTAGTGACCCACCTCCCAGGCCCTCCACACAAGTACAAAAACATACACACACACACAAATGTAAAATATAGATACACACATAAATGTGTGAAAACACACACACACAAATGTATAAATACAGATACACACACATACACATACACACATAAATGTGGGAACACACACATGTACACATACTGACATGTACACACATATCACAGTAGCAGCCCTGGCATCTCCCAGTGCCAGGCTTCTCAGGAGAGACCGAGGGGGGAGACATGCAGGGATCAGGGACTCATGGGGCAGATGTACTAACTGGAGGGTGCAGGTGCAGGAGAGAGACCCCCCATTCAGTCCAATTCTGCATCCTCTTTTAAGTCCCCACCAGGGGCAGGGTGCCCAGGGCACAAAGACAGGAGAGACACAGTCCCTGCCTGCCAAGGGGAGTCACAGTATGGGCAGAGATAGGCCCGTTCCCAGTAGGTGTGATGTGCTCTCGGGGCTGGGGGAGAGCTTCCTGGAGGAGGTGATGCTGGGGCTGCACCTGGAAGGGGCTGAGGATCCCAAGAGGCCGAGGGGAGAACAGGTAGCCTTGCAGGCACGAATGAAGGAGTGCTTACACAGTTAACGCCTCCAGAGCAAGTCCTGCACTAAATGAGAAGGTGATGCCCCCCGGCTCTCCAGGAGCTCCCCTCAGATGAGGCGCCAAAGACAGATGTGTCTTCCTCTGGGCAATGGGACAGATCCAGACCGTGAGGGGCTTCAAATGCCGAGCCTAGGCACTAGTCCTTTATCCTGGAGACAAAAGCAGCCCCCAAAGATGGCTGAGCGTGGACAGCCAGACACTCTGAGATCTCGGTGGCAGTGATGTGGAGCTGGTGGTCCTGGAGGTCAGCGGAAGGGGCGTGACCAACCACAGGATGCTCTAGCCCTGTCGGTGGGAAGCCAGGGGAGGACGGCGTGGAGCGGGGAGATTGGAAGCAGGCCACCAGCTCCAGGCTGTTCAAGTAGGGTTTGAGAAGGGTCAGGAGGAAGGCCACGAGAGAGAAGCCCGTAAGAGCCGTGGAAGGAGGACACGTTCTGCGGTAGGAGAGGCCAACGGGGTCCACACTGGACTGCTACACGTGGCAAGTAAGAAATCAGCGGCAGCTGGTCAAAGGGTAGATTAGCAGCAGACGTCCGTCCACAAGCGGAGTGTGGCAGTGACAGGAACCGAAAGTGGCCCTAAGAAGCAATGGCCAGGAAGAATTGGGAGCGGCTGCGGAAGACTCCTGGACTGATGCAAAGGGACGTGAGCAGAACAAGAAGAAGGTACACCATCGTGAACGCCTGCATGAAAAAGCCTTTATTCCGCTCTTACTGAGCGCCAAGCACCGTGCCCTGTACAGTGAAACGATATCCCTGCCCTCCAGGGGCTTACAGTCTAAGTGAAGGCTGAAGGAAGGAGGCCGGAGGGCGGGGGAGGGGGAAGGGGGAGGGAGAGGGGGCCTGCGGGCACCGAACAGATCTGGAGGTGAACCGAGCGAAGCAGAGCGGAGGTAAAGGGCTGGGTACCCTTGGGTGGGCGGGCCTGGGAGCCCCACGGAGGCACAGAGGGATTCAGGGTTAGCGTTGCCCTAAATTCGTTGTTTTGGCCTTGGAAGGGCAGCTTCGGTCCAGTACGGAGGCAGCGAGAGGCTTGACCACGGACGGTGAGAAGAGAGAGGGACGAACAAAGCGTGAACTGCGGCAAAGGCGCTGTCCCTTCCGAGAGGCTGAAGCCTGATCGTTGGTGGGAGGGTGGGGCCGCCAGGGTCAGCTCCAAGGATGACCAGCGGGGCAAGGAGAGGGCGGCAGCTCTCCTGGAAGATGCCTCCTTCCTGGTACCCAGGGTGCCCAGGGCAGTGACTGGCTGAGGGGGACGTGAGTGGGGGCAGTCGGTCGTGTTCATGAGCTAGACCCCGAGGTCCAGTCCTTGCCCCCGAGCCCACCATGGGAGTCACTCTTGGAGGGAAGACGCCCCAGAGGCCTGCAGAAGGTAGGGAGGGGCTGGAGTCAGCACGTGGAGTGAGGCCCTGCGGAGGGGAAGAAGCCTGGAAAGGGAGCAGGGGTCCCTGCCAGAGCATGTTGTGTTTGCCTCTGAAGTGGTGGGGAGCCCCTGGGGTTTACTGGGGAAGGGAGTGACACAGGAATTCAAAGCTTGCCTTCGGGGGGAACCAATGAAAGTCCACCGCCCTATTTCACGGGGCCACACCTTCACCCACGGTCACAAGAGGGAAAAGCCTCCCTAAAGAGCAGGAGCGTAACTAGGGACGCCTGGCAGCTGGGCAGCTGTCCCCCCGCCACGTGCGCACAGGTCCATCGGTCCTCTGGGGCAGCGGGCGCCTCCAAGGTCCGAGACATTGCGCACAGGCAGAGATGCACGGACCCCACCTCGTGCCCACCTGGGGACAGGGAGCGGCTCGGGCGCCGCTGCCAGCACCCCCATGGACACGCACCCCCACGAGAACCCACAGGGCAGAGACGATCTCAGTGACACAGCGCACGCTGTCAGCCAGGTCGCGCCCACGGACACACAACCACAATGACACGCTGTCCCCACGGTCGCACCCACAAACATACAAATACAACGACACACTGTCAGCCAGGTCGCGCACACGGACGCACAACCACAAGGACACGCTGTTACCCGCGATCGCACCCACAAGCACAGGACAGACACACACACACACACACACACACACACAAGAGTGGACAATTACTCACGGCCACACGTGGACACACAACCACACCCGTCCGCCGATGACGTCACAGGGCTCACCTCCTGAAGCTGCCGCTGCCTCTTCCCTACGTCAGGCTCCAGCACCCCAGCAGAGAAGTGACACCAGAGCAACTGGAACCCCCCCCCCCCGGCTCTCTGGGAATTGTAGTCCAGAAGCTTCCTACGCATGCGCAATGAGCGAGGCGGGCCCTGGGAGGCGGGAGCGGGCCCTGGGCGGGCGGGGCGTCCAAGTTGGGGAGAAGGAGAAGAGAAGGAGGGAGAGGGGAGGGGCGAGGGGCGCAAATGGCCCTGGAGCCCCAACACGTGCCCCTCACGCCTCTCGTCCCTCCCGTCTGTGCAGTTGTGGCGCGGGCCGCCAGAGGGCGCGTCGGGCCACAAAGCATGAGGCCGGTGGGCAGGAGGGCCCGAGTTCAAATGTGACCTCAGACACTGCCGAGCTGTGGGCCCCAGTGCGGGTCACTTCACAGCTGCCTGCCTCCGCTTCCCCATGTGTAAATTGGGGGACATAATGGCACCCCCTCCCAGGCTTGCTGGGAGCGGCCCACAGGATCACGTTTGTAAAGCGCTTTCTTGGCTCCGTGCCAGCACGCAGTAGGCCCACACAGCCGCGATGTTTCCCGCTTCCCCGGGGGTCTGTTCTTCCATGTTAGGGCAGAGGCTGCTCCTCGGTAGCCCAGGAGAGGAGGCCGGGAGTTTGGGGTCCGGCAGTCCGGCCCACGGGGCACTTGCGGCCAGACCAGCACGGACGGACCTAGGGCACTCCACCCCGCAGCGTGAGTGTCAGGGACGCCGCACCGGCACAAGCGGAGGGACCGGGGCTATCGAGAAGCTGCTGGGGGCTCGGGGAGCCCCGGGGCCCGGGCAGTGTGCGCCCCCAGGAACAGAGCTCGCCGGGCTCTTTGTTACGGCCGCATCTCGGGGCCAGCCAGGCCGCGGTTAAAGCTCATCGACACTGACCGCTTACCTGCTCCTGGGGGCGGTCACTCGGAAACGTCGGGAAGGGAAGCAGGCTGCACGCCCAGAGACCTGCCATTCAGGCGGATGCCCTTTCTTCCACTCGGTACATGAAATGTTAGCTTTATTGTCTGTTTAAATTCAGAATAAGAAACGATAAAATTGAGGAAAGAAGAACGTCAGCTCCTTGAGTGGCACCCGGGGAGATAGCGCTTGGCACAGCGAGCGCTCAGCTGCCTGGTTTCATTCCTCCTTGGCCGCGGTGCCCCACGGGGCGCTGCGGCAGAGCCTGCTGGGCTGATGGGGCCAACACCCCACGATTTCACCGCATCTTCAGCAATAACCAAGCGTCCCGTATCTGCCTGCAAGGAGAGCAGTGACCGCCCACGGAGGCCTCTGCCCAAAGGGTCCCCACAGGACCATGCGGCCTCATCCTCCTGTTAGCTTCACCACGAATTCCACGAGCCCACTGTATGAACCAGGAAGAAGCTTTAACAGCCTGGGAAGGCTGGGCGTCCCACATGTGGGAGCACACCTTTTATTCCCTTTTCCCCATTCGAATTTCCCTCCGTTTCCCCATTGGCTGGGTCCTATAGGGGTTACAGCCCATCCGCAGCGCCTCATTTCCCCACCTGTGTCTCCACCCCCAATTACATCTCCCACTCCCCACAATTCCGGGACCAGGCTCTTATTTGGGAACACCCCTTTTGATGTTAATCTATACCCAACCTCAGAACCGGTTTTCAGGAGGTTAGTCTATTCACCTACCAATTATGTTTTCTTATTCCAATTTATGGTTTCCCTTGTTCAACTTCCCCCTAACCCCTAGGTTGCATTTCTCAGGCGACTTTTTGTGAAAATGAAAAATTGCTATTTCTCACAGACGTGAATCCCTGTTTAAACGGACTCCAATGCTATTCTGCTGTCACATAGATGTCCACACCCTGATGAGTGCTACAGAAGCAACAACCCCAACCACATTTTCCACACTCCCCCCAGCTTCCAGCTGCCTCCAGCTCTGGAAACCGAGATCAAATCAACTCCACCTCTTGAAAGGGTGTGCCAACTGGACTGCCATATTGTTCCACTCACCATTTTCTTTGACTTGCCAGAATACACAACCTTTTTCTGGCCACCCCTCTCCTATGTATGCTTTCTTCTGCAAGCTCCCTGAGGGCAGGAGCTATCTCACTTTTGTATTTATAGCCCTAGTTTGGAACAGTAAGTACTTAATAAAGGTTATTCATTAATTCACTTGTTCACTCACTCGTTCATACATACATTCATTCATGCACTCACTCACTTCACTCATTCATTCATGGGTCACCCAGCGAAGGTAATGAAATACCCTCAGCCCAAAAGAATATAAGTCTCTGATTTCGGCACCATCAGGGTGAGGGGTACATCGAGGGCCCAAAGTTCTATGCTCAGGCCTCAGGGCCAGGCTTAGGCCTCCCCACTGCCCCCATCCCTCCATTACTCCTCAATGAATTCTTAGGCAAGTTCTTAAATGTAACTAGTACCTGCAGCCTTGTCTCTCCATAAGCACTACTCCTTTGCTCCCTGTCCCCCAGTTCCCTTCCTCCTCTTGCTCTGAGAACTGAAAATCATCACCATCATTATCTGTGGAATGGATTTCACAAGAGACTGCCTTATTGTTCCACCCACTATCCCAGGCACAAACTACCCTTCCCTGACCATCACTCCCCTATATGCAGCTCTTGGCTCCTTGAATTTCTCACTGTCTCACTTATATGTTTATGTCCCTACTCTGTGGCTTATCATAAGTGCTTCATACTATTTTTAATGAATGCCTTTTCATTCATCCATTTACCCATCCATCCATTTATTTACTCATCCATCCATCTATCCACCCATTTATTTACTCATCCATCCATACATCCATTTATTTACTCATCCATCCATCCATTCATTTATTTATTCACTCATCCATCCATTCACCTATCCATTCAATAATGTATTCATTGACTTCTCCATCCATTCAGTCATCCATCTGAGGGAGCTGGGGAGAGGGGGGGTCCCTGGCACATGCCACTGCTTGACCCTGTTGTGGTGGTGGTGGGAGGGAACTTGGTACTGGACAGACCCCTCAGGCAGTAAAAAGATCTAATAAAATTAGTGACAATCTATTAATTTGGATTTGTCATTGCTGTTTGTCCAGACATTTCAGTTGTGTCTGATTCTTCATGACGTCATAATTTGGATACTCTTCCAATATTCTTTTTTTAATTAATTTATTTTGATTTATCAATCACTTCCATATGCTTTTGAGTTTAAAATTTTTCTCCCCCTTCCTCCCCACCACCCTCCCCAAGACTGCACGCAATCTGATATAGGCTATACATATACATTCCTATTAAACATATTTTCACATTAATCATGTTGTAAGGAAGAATTAGAACCAATAGGAGGAACCATCAGAAAGAGGAAACAAAACTCAACAGAAGAAAAAAAAATAGCAAATAGTATATTTTGATCTGCATTCAAACGCCATAGTTCTTTCTTTGGATGTGGATAGCATTTAACATCAGGAGGCCTTTGGCGATGTCTTAGATCCTTGTATTGCTGGGAAGGGTTAAGTCTATCAGTGTTAGTCATCGCACAACGTGGCTGTTACTGTGTACAACGTTCTCTTGGTTCTGCTCACTTCACTCAGCATCAGACCATAGAAGTGTTTCCAGGTTTTTCTTCAGTCTGCCTGCTCATCATTTCTTATAGCACAATAGTATTCCATTACGTGCATACACCACAACTTCTTCAGCCATCCCCCAATTGATGGGCATACTCTCAATTTCTAATTCTTTGTCACCACAAAAAGAGCTGCTATAAATACTTTTGTACATGTGCGTCCTTTTCCCATTTGTATGATCTCTTTGGGATATAGCCCTAGAAGGTCTATTGCTGGGTCGAAGGGTTCTTCCAATATTCTTAAAAGAGGTAGTAGAAGCACCACTAAACAGGGAAGCCAGTAGTAATAAATAAATAATAATAGTCATAACAGCAATGTTTATGTAGCACTTTAAGGTTTCCTATTGTTGTTCAGTATGTCTGACCCTTTGTGACCCCATTCGGGGCTTTCTTGGCAGAGATACAAGAGCAGTTTGCCATTTACTTCTCCAGATCATTTTATAGATGAGAAAACTGGGGCAGACAGGGTGAAGAGACTTAGCCAGGGTCACACAGCTAGTAAGTATCTAAGGCTGGTTATGAACTCAGGTCTTCCTTACAGTAAGCCCAGCACTCTATCCACTGTGCCACCTAGTTTACTGCTTTACAAATACTATCTCATTTGTTCCTCCCAATAAACCTAGGAGGTTATCATTATTGTCCCCATTTGATTAGGAAATTGAGCCTGAGAGAAGTTAAGTGACTGGTCCAGGGTCACAGAGCTAGTAAGTATCTGAGGTCACATTTGAACTCAGGTCTGCCTGACTCAGTCATCTAAATTTTGCGGTATCCTTAAATGATTTTTAGAGTGTTTTTGTTATCATATTGACAATAAAAATTTTAAATAAAAATTTCTGAAAACTTAATTTTCTGAATTTAGTCACTCATCATTATATATACAAGTAAATAATGTCAAAGCATATTCTAACGTAATGAAAACAAAATTGGGCTTATACTTTCCTTTGTTGTCTGAAATTCAGAGTGTATAATTTTATTTATTGGATCACCCAAAGAAACTATGTTGATAATTCACTAAAGAAAATAACCTGCTGAATTATTTTTAAAATTTTTTTAAAAGGCAATTGGGGTTAAATGACTTGCCCAGGGTCACACAGCTAGTAAGTGTCAAGTGTTTGGTCTGAGGCCAATTTGAACTCAGGTCCTCCTGACTTCAGGGCCAGTGCTCTATCCACTGTGCCACCTAGCTGCCCCTGAATTATTTCCTAAAGAGTTAAAATGGTCCTTTATGTAGCTCATCCACTTTATGAGCACAATTTTGCAGAATTAATCACTATAAAGAAATATTTCTTGGATAAGGCTATATCTACCTATAACAATATATTTGTCAGTTGAAGGCTAGGGGCCAATTAGATGCAACAAATATCTGTAAATGGACTCTAATTATAATTACCTGTTGCTCCTATTAACAGGATTAAAGTTGATAATTTTCTCCTTATATTTATCAGCTCAGATGATTC